TGTCTTTTTTCGTGTTCGTCGTCGTCGTCCTCTTTGGCGTCGTGGTCGGTTCCGTCGTCGTTGTCGCCGTGGTCGTCCGTCCTCCTCCTCCTCCCACGTCGTCGTCGTCGTCCGTCGTCGGCGTCTCGTCGTCGGTTCTATTTCGTCACCGTCGTCGTCGTCGTCGTGTCGTCGTCGTCTTCCCTCCTCCCTCGTCGTTGTCGTCGTCGGCGTCGCCGTCCTTCCTCCTTCGTCGTCGTTCGCGTCGTCGCCGTCCTCCCTCCTCCCTCGTCGTTGTCGTCGTTGTCGTCGTTGTCGCCGTCGTCGTCCTTCCTCCTCCCTCGTCGTCGCCTTCGTTGGCGTCGTCGTCGTCGTCTCGTCGTCGTCGGCGTCGGCGTCGTTGTCGTCGTCGAAGTCGTCGGAGACGTCGTCGGTGTCGTCGTCGTCGTCGTTGTCGTCGGTGTCGTCGTAGTCGGTCTTAAGAGGTTTTGCAAACCAAGTTGCGGGTGGGAGGGTGGGATGTTTGCGCGAGCAGTGGAGAGGACAGCTTCAAGTTGAGCAAGTGATGGATTGCACAACATAGAATGCACCACATATGTAGTGCAACCTAGATTGTTCTACTTAGATTCCACAACATATGCACGACACCGATTGCTAGAAACATGTTGTTTGGGGTCCACGCTGGCTCACACATATATATATATATGTGTATATATATATGTACATGGGATTTGGTGATTTGTTTGTTGTTTCCAAACCATCCTGCGGTGTTGGTTCTTCGGTTTGAATCCGCAGCGCCGCGCTCCACTTCTCCTCCCGCTGCCCCCTCCTCCCTCTTCCCATCCCTGCCCCTGCCCTCCGCATGACCATGTCCGCACACCCCTCACACGTTTCGTGGCCCCAAAGAGTGCTCTACCGAAGGCCCCAGTGGCAGGGTTCGCATGCGTCCCTGGGCCTACGTCGGCACACCTCTCACGAAGATCGTGGCCCCATAGGAAGCTCCACCGAAGGCCACAGTGGCAGGGTCTGCATGCGTCCCTGCCCACTTCGGCACACCCCTCACGAGTATCGTGGTCCCACATGGAATTCCACCGACGGCCCCAATGGCAAGGTCCGCACGCGTCCGCCAACTCCTTTCGGCACACCCATCATGAGGATCATGGATCCATGGGGTGCTCTACCGAAGGCCCCAGTGGCAGGATCCGCGTGTGTCCCCCCGCCAACTTCGGCACACCTATCACGGGGATAGTGGCCTCATGGGGAGCCCCACCGAAAGCCCCAATGGCAAGGTCCGCAATCGTCCCCCCGCCAATTCCGGCACAACCCTCACGAGGATCGTGGCCTCATAGGGAACTCTACCGTCCAGTTCCGCCTGCGTCCTCCCGCCCATTCTGGCACACCCCTCATGAGGGTCGTGGCCCCGCAGGGAGCTCCACCGAAGGCCCCAGCGGCAGGGTCCGCATGTGTCCACCGCCAACTTCGGCGCACCCCTCACGAGGACCGTGGCCACAAAGGGAGCTCCACAGAAAGGGCCACTGGCAAGGTTCGCATGCGTCCGCCCGCCTATTCCGGCACAACCCTCACGAAGATCGTGGCCCCATTGGGAGGTCCACCGACAGGGTCTACATGCGTCCCCCTGCAAGCTCCGGCACACCGCTCATGAGGGCCGTGGCCCCGTAGGGAGCTCTACCGAAGGCCCTAGCGGCAGGATCCGCATGTGTTCCCTTGCCAACGTCGGCACACCCCTCACGAGGATCGTGGCCACAAAGGGAGCTCCACCGAAGGCCACAGTGGCAGGGTCATCACGGCGCCACTTTCGCTAGGGCATGCGCCCTTGTCCGTCCATTCGTTCGTCCCCATCCTTCCTCTCGTTCGCCTCGCGGCACTCGCATCTGCATGTGGTTGGGCCTTTCGCCAGGATAATTTCCCAACCATTATCTGGCCTTGGGTCATCGTTTTTAACTCGAAGCGTCGCGCTCCACTACTCCTCCTCCTCTTCTCGCTGCCCCCTCCTCCCTCCTCCTTCCTCCCATCCCTGCCTCTGCCCTCCGCATGCATATTTCGGCACAACCCTCATACGCATCGTGGCCCCACAGGGTGCTCCACCGACTGCCCCAGTGGCAGGGTTCGCATGCGTCCCCTCGCACAATGCGACACATGCCTCAAGAGGACCGTGGCCCCATGTGGAGCTCCACTGAAGGCCACAGTGGCGGGGTTCGCATGCGTCCCCCCGCCTACTTCGGCACTGACTTCACGAGGATCGTGGCCCCATAGGAAGCTCCTGCGAAGGGCCCAGTGGCAGGGTCTGCATGCGTCCCCCCGCCCACTTCGGCACGCCCCTCACGAGGATCGTGGCACAAAATCCGCCGATCCGGCGTGTGAGTTTCAAGGAGTCTCAGCTACAGCCTCGAGGCTGAGCCTCAGCCTCTGGGGGGGTTGCCGGGGTGGCTCTGCCGGGGAAGGGGGGGTGGGGGGGGGGGGGTGCGAGTTTCCGGCGGATGCGTTTTTTGACACCCCTCACAAGGATCGTGGCCTCCAAGGGGGTTCCGAACTCGAGTACCACCCCTCCCGCACCAAGAGGCTCCGAGGAGGCCTCCAAGAGGCCCCAAGGGCGCAGAAGAGGCCCCCAAGAAGCCCCAAGAGGCTCCCAAGAGACCCCCAAGAGGCCCTCTGGTGGCCCCAAGAGGCCCAAGAGGCCCCCAAGAAGCCCCAAGAGGCGCCCAAGAGGCCTCCAGAAGTCCCAGCCAACCACGAGATCCCAACCAGCATCCATGAGGCCTCTGACCCACCACCCACGCACGGTGGCGGGATAGGCCGACGGCCACTGGATCCCGCCGCCCCCTGCTTGCAGGGGTGCACGGCGTGCTGGACGTTTCAGGTTTTGGTTTTGGTTCTTTTTCCAAAAGAACTCCCCAGTGGGCTCCGGCCCGTCCCGCCACCGTGCCCAAAAACGGCCGTTTCGCTCGGGACATCCTCAAAAAATCGCGAAGATGGCCCAAGATGGCCTCCAAGTCCGCCCGAGATGGTCCAAGACGGCCTCCAAAACGGCCCAAGAGAGTCCAAGACGGCCCAAGACGGCCCAAGAGGCCCCCCAGAGGCCTCCCAGACGGCCCAAGAGGCCTCCAAGAGGTCCTCCAGGAGAGTCCGAAGAGGCCAAAATCATTGATTTTCCCTTGGTTTTTGAAGGATTTTGGCATTTGCGCCTTTTCGGCTCTCCGACGGCTCAAGACGGCCCAAGAAGCCCCCAAGATCGCCCAAGAGGCCCCCAAGAGAGCCCCCTGATGGCCCAAGTGGCCTCCAAGATGGCCCCTAGAGGGCCCCAAGAGGGCCCAAGAGGCCTCCAACACGCCCAAGATGGCCTCCAAGACGCCCAAGATGGCCTCCAAGACGGCCCTGGAGCGCCCCAAGAGGGTCCCCCGTTGGCCCAGAAAGGCCCCCAAAACGGCTCCCGACGGCGTCAGACGTGCCAGGAACCCACCAAGATGGCCGAAGTTGGCTCGAAGCTGGCCCAAAAGGGCCCAAGAGGCCCCCAAGAGGGCCTCCAGGAAGGCCAAAAGATGCCAAAATCACTGATTTTCCAAAGGTTTTTGATGGATTTGGGCATTTCCCTTTTTTCGGCCTTCCGACGGCCCGACACGGCCCAAGAGCCCCCAAAGATCGCCGAAAGATCGCCCAAGAGGCCTCCAAGACGGCGACGATGACCATCAAGACGCCACGTGTTCCCCGAAGGCTTTCCAAACCGATTCGGGGAACACATGGTCCGATGGCTTGGCAGGTCTGGCCTCAACGTTCGGCCACATAGGCGCTTCCACAAAGGCAGGGGGCGGCGGTGATTCGCCGTAGGCGTCTTCGATAAATGCTGAGTGAGAGGAGGGGAGGGAAAAAGAGAGGAGGGACGAGGGCGAAGAAGGATCAAATCAGTCGGAGCGCCCCGGATCGGCGGCACTGGCCGAAGGCCACTACAATAGAACTCCACCGACGGCCCCAATGGCAAGGTCCGCATGCGTCCGCCAACTCCTTTCGGCACACCCCTCATGAGGAGGACTTGCCATCGCTCGGACGTCGTTTCCCCGTGCATGTTTCGATTCCGTGATTTTTCTGTCACGAATATCCAGGTGCTCCTCGATGATCCTCGTCGGTCCGAGCAAAACCGATGGGAATCTCCACCGAAAGTCCCAATGGCAAGATCCGCATCAGTCAACCGTCAATATCGGCACACCCGTCATGAGGATTGTGGCCCCAAAGGGAGCTCCACCGAAAGCCCCAATGGCAGGGTCCACATGCGCCCCCTGCTCATTCTGTCAGACCCCTCATGAGGATCGTGGCCCCATTGGGAACTCCACCGAAATCCCCAGTGGCAAGATCCGCATGCATCCCCCGCCCCATTTCGGTACACCCCTCACGAGGACCGTGGCCACAAAGGGAGCTCCACCGAAGGCCCCAGTGGCAGGGTTCGCAGGGCGCCCGCATTCGCCCGGACATGCGTCCCAGTCGGTCCTCTTGTTCGTGCCCATCCTTCTTCTTGCTTGCCTCGCGGCACTCGCAGCGGTATGGCCCTTCGCCAGGATAGTTTGATTTGTGATTGATGGGGAGGACGAGAAGGGATTGGGGCGAAAGAGTACTCGGGAAGGGGTGGATAGGAAGAGGAGGAGGGAGGTACAAGGCAACCAACAGGAACAATGCTGTGCGCTCTCGCTTATCCTCCTAAGAGGAAAAACGGTAACAACACACTGTGCCATCAAGCAGTGCCTTCATATGTTTTCATGTCCCTCTGGAGCCGCAGCTGGCCCACGGTGTCCACGAAAACGCGGCGAGGGGGGAAAACGGCAGCCGAGGCCGCCAAACAGCGCATCGCTCTGAGAGGCTCCTCGAAGGAGGAGAGGAATGGAGGGCCACTCGAGCGCTGCATCACATCACCACAGCAGAGCTGCGCCGCAGCAAGAGGCGGGGGGGGAAGCACGACGGTCGCCGGGTCGCCGAGGGAGAAACGTGCAAGGGGCAGGAGCGAGCCAGCTGCAGGCCTCCTCTGCTTCCTTGCCGAGCTCCTCGACGTCCAGCTTCATGGCCTCGCAAACAGAATCGGATCAATCCTTCGGGCTCCTCCTCCCGCTGCTCCTCATCCTGCTCCCCTTCCGCCTTCCTCCTCCTCCTCCTCCTCCTCCTCCTCCTCCTCCTCCTTGTCTTTACCCTGCCGCTGTTGTCCCTCCTCCCGCCTCTTTTCCTGTGCTTGCGGTAAACGGTTTCAGCGAAAACTGTCATCACATTTTTGTGTTATTGCAACTCAATGTGCGCGCGTGCCCGCTCGTTTCGTAACGCCAATACGCTGTCAAAGTATCATCCAGGGCCCACTCAAGAACACTTGCTGTTTCAATGACGTATTGTTCGGCGTTCGCTGGTCCCCATCATCTCTGTAGAATAGTGGAATGTGTGCCACGCGCGCGCGCGTCTCACAATCTTACCAAACACTTCCGTGACTACATGATGTGCATCCAAATCCGCCGCGGTGCCCTGGGGCCTCAGGCTCTTGGCTTAACCCCCTAAGCCTCAGCCTTCAATCCTGATGTTTCTGGAGGGGGCCAGGACCCCAAATTCACTAATCATCTTGGGCTTGGCTTGGTTCTCCTGGGGCGCGTCGAGTCTTGTCGCATGACTGTTTCGGGCCCGCAAGGGCCCCGAGGCGAACCGAGAGGGCCGCGAGAGGCTGCCCAAACAGTCCAAGAGCGCGCCGAATCGCCCAACGATCGCGCCAGGATGCCCACGATGGCCTCAAGAAGCCCCAACGCGCCTTCGAGACGCCTCAAAGGAGCCCCCAGAGACGTCCCACGAGGAACCTGAGAAGTGAACATAATTGAACTCTCTTTCTTTCCGGATAGTGCAAGGCGTTCACACCTACACGTCCAATAATCTCAAACTGCCTTCCCGAGATGGGGTCCAAGAGGGGGGTAACACGAACCGGAAGTCCGGGCCTTCCGCCCCAAGAGGCGCCCAGGATGCTCAAAGAGTGCCCGGAGAGGCCCCGAAGCCCGAAGAGGCCCCCACGAGTCCCGAAGAGCCCCCCAGGAGGCCCCACGAGGCCCCCAAGATGCTCCCAAGAGGCCCGAAAGAGGCCCTAGCTGCCTGCATCGCCAATCCAAACGTCCATGTCTTGCTTTGTGTATACTCGTCGAACAAAAAAATCGGTCACTTACTCATCTCCACCATTCAAACATTGGCGAACACTCCACGTCGCGAAGAAGCATTTCACATGTTTAAGTTTATGTCGACCGGCCTGAACAATACTACGTCTGTAAGACGTCGCGCACTTATCGTCTGCCCGAATCCCACCAGACATGCGCACGGCTAGCTTGTACCGCCATGGTTTTCCTGCTTGCTGGGACTGTTCTGAACTCGAAAAACGCCTCCCTGCCAGAGAAGAGCATACACAATCAAACATTTAAAGATGCACCAGAAGTCTGTCATCTCGGTTTGACAAATGACAGGCTGAATGAGATACCAGTTCCGACAAGCACGTGAAATGGTAACGTCTTGAGCCATCTTGGCTTGAGCCAAGATGGCTACGGAATGGCCTTCAAAGCGACCCTGAAGCGCCCCAAAAGAGCCGCAAAACGGCCCAAAGAGGCTCCTAAGACGGCTTCCAACGGCGTCAGACGGGCCAGAGACGCCATAAGACGGCCAAAGAGGCCCCCAAGAAGCCCCCCAAAGCCCCCAAGAGGCCCCAAGAAGCTTCCAAGAGGCCCCTTGGAAGCTCCCAAGAGGCCCAAATAATGGCCTAAGAAGCTCCCAAGAGGTCTCCTCATCCTTCCCCTCGTACTCTTTCTTCCTCGCTCTCCTGTTCCCCCAAAGACTTCTACACCGGCTGGGGGAACGCATGGTCCAATAGCGTGGCAAACTTTGCCCAAACATTTGGCCACATAGGCGTATTCTAAAAGGCAAAGGGCTGCAGTGATTCGCCGTAGGCGTCATCGATTTATCAGACATACTCGTTTTCAACAATGATCCAACAAGACTTTCTTGGCACAGAGTTCCGGTGCGTGCACACACAGAAGCACCTGGCAATGTGGATCCCATCCTTATGGCATGGTACCTGTCTACACATTCTAGCTAGCATGTTCCGATGTCCGATGGGTAACTTCACTCACGGCCTCTGAACTTTGCGAAACAGTTGCGGGTGGGAGGGTGGTATGCTGGATCGATGATGGGATAACACGACTCCAAGTTCTCAAACTTGGCTACGCACCTTAGCATGTCAATCAGCATTTGCTCAACATGTAGTGCGCCAGTGAGCATGTAACAAATGGCTTGCTCAAACTGTATTATTGCGCCCCTATATGTAGCACATCCAGTGTGCAAAAACTCACTATTCGGGGTCCACGCTGACAAACATTTGCTCCTCGCGAAGTGTATAGAAACATGACCCTGCCCCTCCCTCGCCCTCTTCCTTGATCGCCGTCTGCCTACGTCTCTCCCTCCCTTTCATCCCGCTCCATCCCCCCCTGCAACCTACCTTACCGCCCTCTCCCTCCCTCCCTTCACCTTCAATCCCTTGCTCCACTCTCTCCATTCCACCCTCCTCACCCGCGCAAGACTCTTCTTTTGGCATTGGTCACCGCTTTTCGATGTATTGACGCCTGCTGTTCTTTCTTCAGCCTCCTCGGGGCCGTAACTGGCAGCGGACCCTGCGGATGAAGGATGAGGGGGATGAGGAAGGATACATATGCATATTCATATATATATATATACAAAATATATTTATGTGTGGACATGTGTATTTAAGTTTGTATGTCATAGTAAACTGGTCTTGCTCTGAGGAACATCGACGGTGGGGCAGGGCAAGTCTTTCACCCACGTTGGCTTGAGAGCCTGCCATGAAGCCCTCAAGAAACCGACGACGACGATGACGGACGATGGACAGAAACCGTTTCCATCGAATCGTGACATCGGATCGGAATGTGTATCGGAACGGGCTGCATCGGTACGCCATCCGAATATAATCGAATCGGCCGCGACAAGATGCAAAACAACACCGTGCAAGCATCGAGCCGCATCGGATATCATCGGATCGGACGAGAATCGGAATCGAGTCGGATCGAGCCGGCCGTACCCGATATCGAATCGGATTGAATTACACCATGATGGAAGACAGAGGACGGACGGCGACGATGACGGACGGCGACGACGGATGACAGACGACGATGATGGCGACGGACGAGGCACGGACGACGGACGGCGACAACGACCACCGACAACGCCATTTCCGAACCAAACGTGCTTCTCTCTGAGGGTCGGGAGGGGCAGGGGGAAGGGCAAGTACAGTCATCGTGGTACCCTTGGAAGCGCTGAGTAAGGAACGACGGGGCCTGTCTGGCCACGGCGAGCATCGACCACAAACAGGTTCCGAAAACCAGAGCCCATCCTGAACCCAAGGTGGTCACATTGTAAGGAAGCCGCCAACGGCGACCGACGACGATGACGACGACGGACGAGACACGGACGTCAGACTGCGACGACGACCACAGACGACACCTCTTCCAAACTAAACTTCTTCCTCCCTTAGTTCAGCGTCTTGGCTGTAGACAACCAAGCAGATCCATCAGAAGTAAACGCACGAGCCGAATGGACCCAAACTTGTGCTGGTTGTCCAATGAACAAATGTTTGTATGACTGTTTCTATTGGCCACCCGGCCCTCGGAGAGGCAGCCACACCTCGGCTGCACGCATGGCGAGGGAGGGCGCCTTGCCGAACACCTCCTTCGATGCCGCCTGCACCTTGTCGACGAGCTCGCCTGTGGCCTTGGCCGCCTCCGCGGCCGCGTCGATGCTGCCCTGGAACGCCCGGGCTGAGCTGTGCCCATCGGACAAGACGCGCCCCTGATCTATTCCTCTCGCGTCATTGTCCTCTTCTTCCTGTCCATCCTTATTCCTTGTTAACATATACGCCCACTCTGCAGCCTAGATGATAACCGAATTTGGTTCTTCCCATCCTACATGTAAAGAAGATGCAGCACAAGGTCAAAGTGTTTGCTCCCAGCATGGACGTTCTGTCCTCCACGTCGCAAGAGGTGTGGCAAACAACAGGACGGGGCGCCATACCTTTTGCGACATGGACGAAAAAGCGAAAAGGCGAAGCTTCCTCTCGTCGATGTTCCTGGGGAGTTGAATTCCCGCTTGGGCGCGCAACGCATTTTTTCGCACGCACAGTCCTCGACGCGCGAGCAGGTGAAAATGTCGCTCTCGCCTAAGCGCCGCGCATACTTCGGTTGACGGTGGCGCTCTCGCCTCAGCACGGCGCGTATTTCTCAGTCGCTGAGTATTGGTCCCTGCGCGAACGGGCGACTGGTCGCCCTCGGCCAAGCTACGCGCACATCTCTCTTGGAAGTGGCGCTCCCGCGCATGCGCAAAGCATGCTTCGCTCGCTGAATCTCGCGACGGCAGCAACGGCATGAGGGCCGCGCGAAACCGGGAGAAATGCCGTCCTCGCCTCCGCGCTGCGCAGCGTGTGCGTGAACACGACAATGGAGGAGGAGGAGGAGGAGGAGGAGGAGGAGGAGGAGGAGGAGGGGAGGAGGAGGGGAAGGATGAGGATGAGGAGGAGGAGGAGGAGGAGGAGGAGGAGGAGGAGGAGGAGGAGGAGGAGGAGGAGGGGAGGAGGAGGAGGAGGAGGAGGAGGAGCAGGGGGAGGAGGAGGGGGAGGAGGAGGAGGAGGGGGAGGAGCAGGGGGAGGAGCAGGGGGAGGAGGAGGAGGAAGTCCTCGCCGCGCTCCTCGGAAGTTTCGCCGCTCCCGCCCTGGCGCGACCCTCGCAGTCGTCGGCAGCGGGACCGCACCCCAAGCGCGTTCCGTTCGCTGTGTGGGGGAACGCGCGTCAATCACAGCAGAAATCATCAATTTGTGCCAAGATTCCTCCTCCTCCTCCTCCTCTTCCCTCCTCCCTCCCCCTTGCCCTCATTTCTCACTTGTCCTCCGATAATCCCCCCGCGCCTCCGTCCCTTCTTGTGTGATGGGTGGGGAAGTGGGAATTGGCGGAGTCGGCCAACTCGTTCGGCCTGGCTCACCTGCCACTTCTCCTTCTCCTCCTCCCCCTTTGCGTGGAGGAGTTCCGACAGGGTGGCGGCAAAGAGGGAACAACGTGCCAACACTCTGCCTCGAACCCTATGTCCAACTCGGAAGGGTCGGCGGTGGACAAGCCTCCCTTTGGTAGACCTCCCCTTAGTGAAAACGGCCCGGGACCGAAACCGACGGACCTGGACCCGCAAAAGTGACGGCCGCGACACCCTCTCGCGCACCGAAAACGGCCAATTCCTTAATCGACGTGTCAGGGTAGGAGGTCTGTCCACCCCCGAAAGGGGGGTTCATCCGACGGGGTTGGGCCAGCTCCTATTGTCCGGATCCCCCGTGGGTCTCTCCAATATTCCCCTTTCTCTCTTTGCTCTGTGCGCGTATTCTAGAAGAGCATTCGAGTCCTATCTAAATAGAATATGAGGATCTCCCCCCGCGGGGTTAACGGGCCACCTTTTCGTATTGCAACTTGCATCTGATTCTGCCCCTATCGTCCACCTAAATGTGACATCATACTATCCCAGCCAGGCCGATATCGGTTCCCCCCTCATCCTCTGCAGAAAATATTATGCGCGCGCACTCGCTATCACAAATCATCAGTTGTCAAGAACCCCTTGCAAACAACGGGACGAAGTGCACACACGCGCGTCGTCGCGCGCGCATGCCGAAACCTCGTCGGTCGTCTTGGCGCTCTCTTGGGGGCCTCTTGGGTTGTCTTGAAGCGATCGGGTGGCCTTGTGGGCCATCTCGAGCGGTTGGAAGCCCGTCTGGGTGGGGGCGCCCAAGTCTTCGCAAACCATTGGGAAAACATGTTGTTTGCCCTCAGTGGGGCCTCTTGGGGACCGTCTTGGTGCCAGACCCTCAAGGGGGGTAAAAATGACCCCTCGATGTCATCGAAGTGGGCGGGCCCCTGTCAATGTGTGCGTGGGGGGGGGGGCGGTAACGGGAGGATAGTGAGGCGGAGGGATGATGGCGGCCAGGCTGCAAGCTGTAAACGCAGTGGGGTGACTCGGAGCGCGACGGCAGTGGCTCGAAAACGCCGAATCACACAATGCGGACATGGCCGATCTCGGAAGCCCTGGGCACGCTGGCCTTGACTGCCCTTGTGGGGGTCACCTGCTCACTTCTGCCGGCTTGCGCTGGGCGTGCGTCGCCTTTCCGCTGCCCCAATTCTACTCCCGCTGGCCCTCCGCGTGACTTCCGCCGAGGGCGAGAGGTCGACCCATCGCCACCTCGAAGGCGAGGCCCTCTCTGGACGGACCACCGCGGTTGCATGCTGGAGTCGCACTCCGCGAAACACGGTACTCAAACGTCCGATGTCTTGACTTGTTCGATACGGGTTCCGCGGGACTCTGGACCCTTGCCCTGGACCAGTCTTTCATCCTGGGTAGTTTTTGGACGACCCTGGAGCCCGGCGAGGGCCCCCAGAGGCCGAGGACGGCGAATCACCTGCGTGTACTCACAACTTTCCAGCACGCTGAGAGGACTGGCTGCCTCGATGGAGGGACCACCAGCCTGGGCGTTGCCGCGATGCGCAGGGCGAGGGATCCGGCGACCGAGCTCGCAACGGCTGCCCCGCTCCCCACGGTCGGGGATCTTCTGACCCGGGTCAACCCAGACCCAGCAGGAAACCAAAAACTGCAGTGCAGGAACAAACAAAAACTGCGACGCAGGTCTTCGCACACCCAGCAGGTCGGCCAACATGTGCGGCCGCCCCGCGGCCACGAGCGGCTCGCCGACCCGGGTCAGCCAGAGGGGGCCTTCGCAGGGTCCTGCAAGCTCCGGCGCCGTGGCTGACCGCCGTTTGCACTGACACCCGTCTCAAGGCTCCAGACTCTCGGGAGCGGCCAAGAGGGGGGTGTCCAAGAGGGGGGGGCGCAAATCATGACCGGCGGCATGTGCGCGGCCCAGCGGGGGGGGGGGCCAGGGACGCAATGAATAGCAGATATCGTGGCCCACGCCATGATGTCCACCCCCCCACCTCTTTTCCTCCTCCCCTCTTTCCTCCTCCTCCTCCTCCTCCTCCCTCTCCTCCTCCCTCCTCCTCTCCTCTTTCCTCCCTCTCCTCCTCCCCCTCCTCCTCTCCTCCTCCCTCCTCTCCTCCTCCTCCCTCCTCCTCCTCCCTCCCTCTCCTCCTCTCCTCCTCCTCTCCTCCTCCTCCTCCTCCCTCCCTCCTCCTCCCTCCTCTCTCCTCCTCCTCCTCCTCCTCCTCCTCCTCCTCCTCCCCCTTCGGGCACCCCGGTGCCACGCCGGGCTCTGCACGTCTCCAGGGGGGGGGGGGGCAGGGGCGGGCCACGGGGCCCTCCCGTGCCCGCCGCTCGCCTGCACCTCCTTCTTCATCTCCTCCATCTTCGCCTCCTTCTCCAACCGGGCCTGCGCGGCGCTGGTGAGACGAGGAGCAGGAAGAGGAGGAGGAGGAGGAGGAGGATTTTGTTTACCGCTACGCTGCTCTCCACGGCATCCCGCAGTCGGCCTGGCACTGGGAGCCAGGCGGCCGTCGAGCACGGCACTTAAATGGCACAGAAAGGTCATACATGCCATGAAACCTTATATCAGGGCCACGCCCCCACGACACGAGACCGAGAGGTTGGGCCAGACACAGGCCTAGGTGGTATTAAAGAGACGAACAACACTGTTAGCATCCGCATCAAGCCAGACGTCCGAGAGCTCGGGGTGCTTGCCAGCCGAAATTCTGTCCCAATAATATTTAGAACACCTGAAATTGTGTGGCCTACCTGGGCACGGTTTAGCCAGGTAGCGCACGTAATTGCCAGTGGAAAACGCTTTACAACGGACACAAACACAGACAATGCCGCCGTCCGAACACGCTAAACCAAGACAATTATGCTCCAGCTGCTGAAGGACGTCAAACTTGAGCTTATGCTTCTTTGAGCAACTCGAATTATTCCTCGGGAAAACCCCGCGGCACACCGCGAGGCAATGATTACACTGCCAGAAGGTTCCCACCTTCTTCCAGAGATGAGGCACTTTGATTGGCACTGGTTTCGGCTCGACGGGCGCACGAGTGGCCGATGACAAGTCGAGCGGAGGCCAGAGAGGCAAAATACGGGCAGCCAGAACAAAAACCTTGCGAACGACCGACAAACATTTCTCAAGCCAATGTAGCTGCTCAGGGCACGGCTTCTCGTGAGCTCGGGCCCCAAGCTTAGCATAGTGGTCGGCAAGGTCATTACCAGTCTTACAGAACGTCAGATTGGCATCATTACCCACCTGCTCGTCCGACATGTGGCCTTTCACTTTGTGGATGGGCCCCATTTGACTGTCTGCGGTCCAAACAAACATGCCCGAGTGCACTCGCTTGTACGACAAGTGTTCACTACGGGGGAGGGCCCAAAGGGCCACCACATTCTGGCAATCGCTATAACCCACAGCTGGAGTGACCGCATTTTGGCAAGCAGCAGTGCAAGCAGCAAATTCACCAGCCTCAGCCGTTTGGGGAATGGGGTAAGGGAGGGGGGCAACGACATGACCCAGCTCCTGCCCAGAATCGGAAACCGAGACATAACTCCACCCCGTTGTCGATAACTCTCTTACGACCGAACGTATACAATATCCATCCATGAAGATATTCCCCGAAACAGTATAATCGTCTTTCCCAGGATCATCAAGATGCTGATATATAGGCTCGCACTTCGATGGGGGAGGGAAGATGTCACCAGGGTGGGTAAACAGACCCAACGTGTACATTATCTTGTCAGCATCCGACAACGAGTCGTACTCCATCGGCCGAAACTGGAACCCATCTCCGAGGATGTCCTCTCGGGCCTGGGCGACCGACTCGTGCTGGCAACACCGCAACCTCTGGAAAATGGTGCCCCTTGCCACTTCGCACAGCGGGCGCAACGTGTCAGGCATGATGTAGCCGTGGTCCTCGGCTCGCGCCTTGGTCCAGGGCGCCTGGCAGACAAGACCTCTAATGCACCCCTTCTCGATGGGAGTGAATTTTGAAGAACTCATGGCCGCAAGGGCCACGTCGAAACACACGCGACGATCCAGGCCCAGGGAACGCCCATACTCACGTTCCAGATTCCTCAAACCAGCAGCACGGAGGAGACGTTTCAGGAGGCAAGGCGAAACCAGGGTAAGGGAGACTTCCACCCCCAGGTCGTCGACCAACATGCTGAAGCTAGGCATCTTCCACCCAAGACGCTCCACCGAGAGCCGAAGGGCCCCCGCAGGGCCACGCACGCGACGCCACGGCTGGAGAGGCCCCGAGAAACCCACAGCCCAAGCACCGCGGAGCTCGGCCAAGCTGAGGCCGAACTGGTAGGCCCCCACCAGGCAAGCCCAGACCTCCTTAGACCACCTCACAATGGGCGCGACGGACGCGTACCAGGTGGGGTCGGCGGCAAACAGCAAAGCTGCCGTGAGAGATCTCCCTCCAGCGGAGGGTTGCAAGAAGCGACCCATGGCTCTCCGCAAGGTGAACAGCTCATGGTCCGAGGTGCCGTGCACCTCGCAACCGTAGGTTCGGCTGGCAAGGGGCCCTGTCGTGAAAACCCGACGCGAGTGTCGACCGAGGGTTCTCTTATGACGAGCCAAACGAGCAACCTTGGCCGAAAACAGGGTCTTACGAACTTTATTTAAACCTTCCACCGCGACGAGCGACGCGACGGGGCCTGCCAGCAGCATCGTCGATGCCGAGGTTGACAGCGGAGTCACACGGCGCTCCGCCCACCGTGCCAAGACCATGGCGCACGGCCTTGGCAACTGCAGAATGAGAGGCGAGCACTGCCGCCTTCTTGACAGCGATCGCGCAGCCAAGATCGCCCTCGATGACAGCTTGCAATTTAATGCCCCCGCCCCCCCCCAGGAGGTCATTAACGACCGTCGAGGCGGTCCCTTGGCACGACAGGGTGTAATCATCGATATATATCTTCAGCGAGACCGATCTTGGCAAGCCAGGCCCATCTAAGGCGGCTGTGCTGAAGACACGGATTAAAGTGGTCGCGAAGCCGCAGCCTGCCACAAGTCCTCGCCATGCGAACTTGGGCCCGATGACCCTGCTGTTCATGGCGATGTAGCGGCAGGCGCGGTAAGCAACGTCACAAACTCTCGCAATCTGCATGGGGAAACCGTGCTGACGGCAACGCTGCAACAGCAGGTCCAAGTCGACCGATTCATAAACCTTGAGAAGGTCCCAGAGAACCGAACTGGAACATACATCGGACGAAACAGCTTTCTCACTTCGAACGCATTGCCGCCAGACAGTGTCCACGCTCGATGCAAAGGAGCCCGCGGCGAAGAAGTCCCTGCCGTTAGCCACTTCCCACCTGCGAGCATACTCACGACGAGCACGGGCCCAGAGACGATACACTGACACGAATAATCCTATCGGTCTGTGCCCACCGTCTGGCTTGGCAAGCATGATGAGCAACAGCGCGCGCATCTGCACTGGCAAGTGCCCTGGCTTCTCGAACGTGGCGATGAGGCGAGAGCGGACGACAAGGGCCTGATCCGAGAGGTGCTGGAAGTGGCTAACATGGAAACCGTCGACCGAGGTGGCCGTGTGCTTCGGGAAAGACCTAGAGACACGGCGAAGGTCAGCTGGGGTCAACTCGGGCAGGGGCTCGAGCGCCTCGAAGCGGGCACCTGTCGACGGGGGAGCCTGCTGGTCTTCGGCATGCCACAGATCAGAAAACTTAGCACATTCAGACTAAAGGAGGGCCTGTGGGTCCGAAACAACTCCACCTTTGACGCTGAGGGTAGTGGTGGGGGTCCAAGCAGGGGCCCCTCGAACAACCCCATGGGCGCGCCGAGCCCCTGACTCAATGTTGGTCTTAAGCCAGGACGCCCACTTACGGTTCTCAGCATTACGATGTTCACTCTCGGCCACAGCTTGGGCCTGGGAGACCACATCCAGGGCATACTCGGGTTCCCCAGAGACGACGGGCTGACCAGGAGGGCTGTGGGTGACGACATCCCTGCAACGCTGGAGCAGCGCGGCCGCGTGGCCGCTCCACTCTCCCAGCCTGACAGGGGGATTGAAAAGCTCAGCAGCCGTGGCGTAGAGATGGCTGCTGCGTGCCGAGCTGTGCTCGGCGCGTCCTGACACTGTCGTTTCGATTAAACTGCTACGAGCAAAACGCGGGGAGGAGGGGGGCTCGGGCGCAGCCGTCGACGCTCCTAGGGCGTACAGCTGCAACCAAAGCCGAAAGCGATTGCTGAGCCAGCGGGGCTGCGAGGCCAACTGCGACGTCGACGAAGCACCTTCCATCGATGCCGTACCCGACTGCAGCACGCTAACCCAGTGCAGCTCCGCTTGGCGTCCTCGACTGCCGTGGTGCGAGAGACGGCGCTGAAATGCCCCTTCGAGCTCCTTTTCGGCCGTGTTGGCCCAATGTTTGTAGATGGTGTCCAGATGATACTGGGTCACATCAGTCTCCCCACTCTCAGCCACCACCAGGGCTCGCGAGGCCAGCCGATCCAAAACTCCCCACTCGGAAGGGGGCTCGGGGCACGGCCCCGCGGGCCTGCTGGTGGGCAAGGGTGGGGGACGTCGAAAGGTCAAAGCTTTGAGAGACGCGAGGGAGGGGTGGAAGGTGGGGGAGACAGGGTCATGCGTCGCTAACTCCGAATCGCTCACTACCTTCACGCCCTTGATCGCCTGCGCCAGGCGGGAGCAACAGAGGAAGAAATCGAACATCTTCGCGCCCCCAGTGCTACGACAGGTGCCTAAAGCTCCAGGGGGGGTACACAATGTCAGCTCCCATCCTTCTGTGAATCGACGAGCCTGCTAGCACGGCGGGCTCCACGTTGAAGTCAGCACCGACAGCGAACGGCGCAGACATGCTCTTTGCTCGCGCCGCCACGCCAGCAATAATATCCTGATTGAAATCACTAAGTCCAACACAATCCTGCAGGTAGACACTAACAACGTAGAAAGAGGCCTGACCTGGGAGGTGGACGAGAGCTCCGAGGGCCCTGTGGGGCCGAATCGTGGGACCAAAATCGGGGTGGTGCAACCCAAGGAAGGACCTAACCAGGACCCCGACCCCAGCCGAGGGCCCCCCCCACCCCAGGCCCCAGGGTTCCAGGTTCGGAGCTGGCTTTCCACCCGTTTCGCACACACCAGGCCGAAGCCTTCCTGATGTCCTCAGCGCTAATGAGCTTGTGCTCCTGGGCGAACACGATGTGGGCCGAGGTAGTGCCCAAAAACTGTTGGAGCGATCTCCAAGCAGTGCCGTTAGCCGTCACTATCTCCAGTTCAAGAGACTCATGAGCAGCAACAGAATCTCCTTGGCCCCAAGGGCGATGCATACACGAGTTTCGCGGGGCATCCAAAACTGGGCAGGAGGTAGGGAGTCTAGGGTAGGAGAAGGGTGATGGCACGGCACAGGTCTGGCTAGGAA